ATAAAAATGTTCTTTAGAATAAAGCACAAAACAAAAAAGCAAACAAATAAAATTCAAAAACAAAAAATACTATTTAAAAAAGTAGAAAACATCAAAGTAGTAAGTAATATTAGAAAACAAAAACTGTAATATGAATAAATTATTGAAGTGAAGAAAACTTGACATTTTTAATTCGAGTTTTGTTTCCTTTACGCAATTTAACGAAAAAAACTCCTGACTGATTTCAGTCGTGGGCTTTTTCGCAGCTTTTATTTTATTCGAAATGTATTTAGTGGTGAATAAAACAGAGAGTAGTAGCGAAAGGGGTGGAAATATACTCTTGTAATTTTGCTCTTTTTTATTTTTTTTTATTTTTTTATCGTACTCGGGGATTAAATTGTATCTCCGTCTTTCGCCCGAATTCCGGCTCGAAAACGGTATCAGGAGCAGGGTAGACAATAGCAAACGCACAAAAAGCGATTAAAATTACAAAAATCTGAAAAAAATTAAGTAAAAATAAAAATATATAAAAAATTAAACTCACTAGAATAATCTGTTTGGCCATTTTCTTTTCAAAACTCGATAGTACCTTATTCTTCTGTGATGCTTTTCAGACTGCAGCTCACTTATTTAAATGCCTTTTAATATTAACAACGCATAAACAAAGAGCCCCATACAAAAAAATTATAAAGAATAAATAAGGTTTTCTGGTACACATATTAATATTTTCCCCAATAAGATAAAAAAATCACCAACTAAGCATTATTATTTCAAGTAACATAAAAAATACATAAAAAATACTTAATACCAATTTGTATGATTCCACAAATAGTACAGCAGATGATACTAATTGAATTAAGAAAAAATTAATAACTCTTAACCATTGAGGGATTTAATTGAAACAACACAAATGAAAATAAAACATTAACAAAGTAAGAAAAAAAAGTAAAAAAAGTAAGATTGTAGTTTTTTGACATAATAAAGCATAAAACAAATAAAAATCAAACCCAAAAGAGAAATACTCTAATGAAACAAAAGCTTTTGTTCTAAAAGTTGAACTAAAAAATAAAAAAAACAACGGAACAACTAGAATAAAAAATAAAAATGTTCTTTYGAATAAAGCACAAAACAAAAAAGCAAACAAATGAAATTCAAAAACAAAAAAATACTATTTAAAAAAGTAGAAAACATGAGAGTAGTAAGTAATAT